AGGCGTTAAGGAAATCTCTTTTCTCTGTCCTGAGCCTCGATCCCGTTTGTGTTTCGTCTCTACGGCCGGGGTCTGCTCACAGCCCTGAACGTTCTCTTGTTGATTGTGTGTCTGTGGGCTGGGCTCAGGGCCAGGCACATTAGCAAAAAGGGTTTGGAAGTGCTTCTCTTCCTTTTAAAGATGAGCAAACAGGCTGGGAGGAGCTAAAAGGTGTTTGCAGTGACCTTGGCAGATTGAGGTTTGAATCTAGTGGACCTGACCCAAATCTAGTCTTTCTAGAAGCTCCCAGGGCTCAGAGATGTTGGCTGGGAGGCTGAGGGATGAACTGCATGAGGGTTTCACAAGAAGCGTGGCTGCTGGGCCTCTGTGGGCCGAGTCGTTGGTGCAGCCCCCACCTCAAGGAGGGCTCAACCTGTCCTCATAGGCGTAGGGTCCCCCACCCTGGGCCGCCTGAGGACAGGGAGGCCTCCAAGCCCAGAAACGCACCTGAAAATCTCACGCCGCTGCATTCCAGAGGCAAGCATGTGGGCATTTTGTATGTCTCCACTGATGCAATCCTTAATAATTCATAATCCAATGGCTGTTCGTACGCAAAGCAGAAAACACAGTGCTGTCGGGTTTCTGTTGGTGGAGGGAATCAGGGAATCATTTGTGATGCTGAACTTTACATTTTAGTCAAAAATGTGAACATGTGTCCGTGGAAAGAGTACTTTGTGGAGGGGCAGGAGTTTAGGGAGAGGGAGTATATTGGTCTGTTTCTGTTTCTTATAACAAAATACCTCCAACTGAGTAATTTGTAAGAAATGAAATTTATTGCTTACAGTTTCAGAGTCTGGGAAGTCCAAAGTCTAGGGAAGAAATCTAGTGAGGTCTTTGGTGGTGGTTTTACATCAATGCAGGGCTCTCACGTGGCAGAACCACGCCCATGACCACCATTTTTAGTCCATTCATTAAGAGCATGTCCTACAATGTAATCACCTCTTCAAGGCCCCATCTTTCAATTACCGCAATAGGATTTCCCACCCTCAGCAGTTACAATGGGGATTAAGTTTCAGTACATAAAACTTGGGAAACACAATTCAGTCCTTATCAGGGAGAAAGGGTTCTGGTTTTGCAAGGGACAGTCAGGCCACCTGACCCTGTTGGTGATTTCTCCGAGGCTTGCTCTGCTTCCCTCCTGAGGCACATGAGGGTCTTGGCCCACACGGGGTTGGGTGTAGCACCCAGCTTGGATGCAGAAAAGCCCCACCTGAGTACCCAAGGAGGATCACAGAAGATCCCATGGGGGGACGTGGTTGCCTGGCATCCAGCCTATAAACAAGGAACCAGGAGACGGAAACCTCACCTGGATGGGGCCTCTGACCGTGTCCCTCCTCGTCTGTACCCAGAGCCTGCTGTGGTGTTCGCCAAAGATCAGCCTGTGCGCAGCGAGATGAAGGCCGGGGCAGGAGCCAGTGCCACGCTGAGCTGCGAGGTGGCCCAGACCCAGACAGAGGTGACTTGGTACAAGGATGGGAAGAAGCTGAGCTCAAGCTCAAAGGTGCGCATGGAGGCTGCAGGCTGCATACGGCGGCTGGTGGTGCAGAAGGCAGGGAAGGTGGACGCTGGGGAGTACACCTGTGAGGCTGGAGGCCAGAGCGTCTCCTTCTACCTGGATGTCACAGGTGAGTAACAGGGTTGGGGGGTGGTGGCGGGGACCCAGAATGTCGAGTGTGAAACTCCGAGGGCACATNACAGGGTTGGGGGGTGGTGGCGGGGACCCAGAATGTCGAGTGTGAAACTCCGAGGGCACATTTAGGCAGCTCAGGGTGCTGTGAGGCCCTGGCATTCTGCATATCCGTGGGAATCCACGCCCCCAGCTTTGAGTGCCTAGGGGCTCCCAGGGTCATATCCTTGTGTCACGAGACCGGAGCTGGCTACGGGCTGAGCTGACCCCAGTGTGCATCCTGTGAGGCTGATCTAGGGGTGGTGGTGACAGTGGGGTGATGACCACAGGTGGATCTGGGGTCTGGTCTGATCTGAAACACCTCTCCGGATGATGGGGACAACAGGGAGGATTACTGGTGGGTGTCAGGGGCTCCCCCGCCCACTCATTCCTGCTGGCTGGGCCTTGGAGCTGTGCAAGTCCACACTCAGTCCCTTGACAATCACCATGTCCATCTGTCCTTCCCTGCTCAAGTCCTTCTCCTTTCCACACTGTCCACCCTGTCACTGAGCCTGGGGATAGGAGACCACATGCAGCTCAACCACCTCTCTCCTGATTGGCCCACACTGACACTCACCTCTCTCCTGATTGGCCCCAGGTGGCACTCAGCTCCCTTCTGATTGGTCCACATTGGCACTTAGCTCACTCCCGATTGGCCATGCCTGGCACTCAACTCTGTCTTCCTGATTGGTTGACACTGGCACTCAGCTCTCTCCCAGTTGGTTCACCCA